ACTCTGTATGTCAGCTTGTGTTGTTCATTGTGTTACGGTCTCTTTTGTTGTTCGAGTTACTACCCATCGCACAAATGGAAAGTGAAATGAATATGGAGTTGTTGTTCAGATTTGACACACAAATGCATGTCGCGTTAGTTGCTGTACTGGAGGTCTGCTACATAACGGTCACACTTACCTTTCGACAATCTGACGTCGTTGCTTTTGACGCGAGAACGCGCTCACGTGCCGTTCTCGTTTACAAGCGCCGTTCCTCGGTCGCCTGGTACCAATTCAAGTGGCAACTTGAACGCGTATTTTTGCTCCCATGCAGCTGCCCACTACCATGTCTTCACCAACACGCCCTGTTCTCCTCAACAAAACTAATGCAGATGCTCATGGCGAAAGAGACCTCATCTATAGCACTCTAGTGTCTTCGTCTGAGCGAAAACGTCTACTGAGCGAGACGACGGATGGAGTTTCCGTGCGAAAACGCGTCAAAGTACACACAGAAGACATCTTTCGTGTCGACGAGGAAAAGGAGGAGGAGGAAGACTCCAGTGACGAAGAGGATGCGTTCGTGGTCCCCAGAAAGCCACGCAACCTCACCACTTTCGAAATACTGAATGCTAGGAGGACAGCGGGGCCTAGCCGTGTGTCACGCTTACCTTCGTGTAGGTCCTTCAATGCTCCCCCAACAGTACCTCGCGCTGAGTTCTTGCACATCTTGGTAGACTCTACGCGATCGATACTTCAATCCTTTGTCTCCTCGAACAGGTCAGACGTGTTCAACCTGCATTCAATGAGCAATGCGTCCTATATGAGTCCGCCATACGCATGCTCATATTCACATGGCTCCAAACGGGGAGAGGACTCTTTGCTAGCTGTGGCGACGGAGGAAGGCGTAGTGCACATATTTAACACCTCCAAGCGCCAAGAGCATGATGTTGGTGCGTACTTTCATGCTCACAATGCTTGCTTTGAGAATCGACTTTGTTCTAGAACCACAACGTTGTACATTCCAGCCGCACACCAATGGCGTATTCGATGTACAATGGTCTCCCAGCGACACACAGCTGGCAACAGTCTCCGCCGACCATTCCCTCTGCATCACCAACGTCTCACGAGCCGGAGTCACACCTATATCGCAAATGAAGCATCACAAAAATACTGTTAAATGTGTTACTTGGGACCCTACGAGAGATGGAAATGTGTTCTGCTCGGGCAGTAGAGACGGAATGATCTGTGTATGGGATGTGCGAGCGGAAGTTGGCTGCTGGGGTCCAAAACCGGTGATGGTAGTGGCAAAAGCACATGAAACAGGCAAAAAGACCATATCAAGGAAGGGCAAGATGACTGCGCCGCCTGCGAGAGGCGTGACCAGTCTGCTTTTCTCTGGACATAACCGGTATGGTCTGGTCAGCAGCGGGTCTTATGACGGGTGCGTGCCAGCAGACTCTGTAAAGCTTTCTGGATGATATGCTGACTATGCTGCAGGATTTTGCGAAAATGGGACCTCAGGTATCTTGACACGAGGCGTCGCTCGACCCCCCAAGGATGCAATATCAGGTCAATCTCGTCGCCTGTAGAAATGTCTAGTGAGGACCCGACGCTGTCTAGAGGAACACGAAGAGCTCGGGGCATTACGAGCATGACATCTGGCACAGGCATCACAGCAGGCCTGCTTTTTGCATTGTCCAGTGACTCCCGGATACATACGTACGACGCGACAACATTGGAACCGCTCTCCGGATGGACAACCGATACCAACACGGACGCGTGGTCCTATGGCTACGAGAATATGAGGACGAACTCGTTCTACGTCCGTTTGGCCATGTCGCCGTGCGGACAGTGGCTCGCGAGCGGCGGTGCGCGAGATGGCCGTGCCTATGTATTCGACGTGTCAAGTTCCGATAGGGCGCGAGTACAGCCGTCGTTGTATGGTGATATGCGTGGGAGAGGAATTGAGCTGAGCGGACAGAAAGGAGAGGTCGGTGCTGTGGATTGGGCACCTGGTCAGTTGGCCACCTGCGCCGATGATGGGACAGTGAGGATTTGGAGACCAGATCTAGAGACTTGCAGGAAATGTGAGGCCGAGCCAGATGAAATGGCTTGGAGCTGGAGCTGGGCAAGAGAACAACAACGGTGAGGATATACTCTAGTAGAGACGTCATTCCGGCGTGTGCTCGATCAACCTGAAGGGAAACTTTTCTCGGCGGACGCAGTCTCCCAAGGTCGGGACCGAAGACTGGATGTTGAAAGGTGAGCAATTAGGTGATGTACAATCAGCGCGTGTGCAGCTAGTATAATGTTCCGAGGAAGTACGTATGATGCATTAAATATCGACAAGAAGCCTAAGAGTAGGCATCCGGCCGCTATTTCTTTTGTATCGCATTTACCAACCTGTAGGTGAAAGGTAAGTTGCGAATACGTGATATTATGACCGACGTACCAGTCAAGGCCCTCTTCCAAACCTTCACCCTTGATCGCACAACTGCCTCTGACACTCCAGTCACGTCCCTTCTCACCTCCGGCTATTCCGAGTTTCTCGCTAATCTCTTCGGGTCGCAAAGCACCTTTGACATCTTGTTTGTTGCAAAACACAAGTAACGGAACTCCTGCGAGCTCATCTTCCGACAACATGGTGAGTAACTCTGTGCGCGACGTCGATAGTCGATCTCTATCACATGAGTCAATGACATAGATGATGGCAGAGGAGTTCGGGAAGTAGCAGCGCCAGTATGGTCTGTATCATGGTGTCAGCATACACAGTGTAAGAGGGTATATAAAGCGTACCTTATACTCGACTGTCCACCGATATCCCACACTTGGAACTTGATATTCTTGTACTAAAGGACAGAGACAGGTTTAGAAGGTTCCCTCAAGGGCAGGCCAGTCCATTATACCCACCTCTACTGTTTCTACATTGAATCCAATGGCTAGCGAGCAGACAATCAGTGCCCTGCCTTTAAAAAAATGGAGAGTATACTAAGGCGTACTAGGAATGGTGGAAACGACTTCGCCGATCTGGGTGTGGGTGTGAAGTTGAGCTAGTGTTCCCTTGCAAGCAAGACCTTTCCTACCTGTAGTCTGTACAGTATCGTCGTCTACAAAGCGACGTTTAGTTCATGTGATCTGCAGCAGACACCATAAAGCGACGCACCTTTCCCGCTGCATCGAGACCGAGCATCAATATCCGGACATCCTGCTCTTTACTCCAGCGCACAAGCGACGTGAGTGAGTTGTACAGCGAAGACAATGAGAGACCCATGAGTGAACCGCAAGAAAGCCAGGAAGCAAAGAAAATGGATTGAGGGACGAGATGATGAGTGTAGCGGGTAGAGGACGTCTCGAGAGTAAGCTGACGCTGGACTTGTCCCCGTGGCACGCGAGATCGCAGATTTTGTGATTGGAGGCGTGTCTGTTCCCTTCAACCTCGTCCACCACCTTCGCTTTTTTATTCGCCATGGTCGCCACGCTCGTCGCTTTGGAACCACCTGACGCTGTAGCAGAGAAGCCGGCCAGGATAAAGAAATCGAGGAAAGGCAAGGAAGTCAGCAAAGACAACGAACCAGCAGAGGAAGGGGTCACGGGAAATGAAGAAAAAAGGGAGCAGAAGAAACATGATTATCAGAGAAAGGAAGATGGTGGTACTGTAAAAGTATTGGCAGACAAGTCGACGAAACGTAAAGAGTTGAAGGGGCGTGTTGAAGATGAATCGCAGACTGCTACAGAGGACGTTGGGCAGCGCAAGAAGAAGAGGAAACGGTCTGCCAGTGAAGATGAGGGAGTACTAGTGACCGCAGATACAGAACCAGCACATCAATCTGGCGAAGCTGAAGAGGCAAAGAAGAAGCGCAATAGACACAAGCACGAACCGCAGACAGTTGAGCGTTCTGAGGAGGGACACGCAAAGGAGCAGAAGAAGAAGAAGAAAAGGCGACAACGTGCAGCTCACGGCTTGAAGGACCCGTCAAGCGACGAGTCGCTGTCTGAGCAGGCTACTAAAGGTATGTGGGTGCAGATAATTATAACACTCAACCTTCCTTACTGCTCCGTAGCTCTTTTGTACGCCTACACCCAGGTTGATGAACCCTCAAGCTGGAAATTCAACAAAGCTCGCCAAAACTGGCTCATACGGAACGCATTTTCTGATGAAGCCGTGAGTAGAAGTAGAGATTAGACCGAAACATGATTCGACAATTGACACCGTCCAGATACCTACGGACTACGTCCCTCTAGTAAACCGGTACCTGTCCGGCGTACAAGGAGGAGCTCGTGAGGTAAATTTTGACTGTACCCTCCTGACTTCAGCGACCGCTCAATAATATGCAGGCACTCATTCAGACATGCCGCAACTTGATTGCAGGACAGTTGGAACCGCTCGAACTGTCCACCGTAGATTCTGGTGAAACCGCGCCGGAGGAAGAATTGCGGACTAGCATGAAGGTTTCCTTCCAGCCAATCGCAAAGGAGCTGCGCGCTCGCGACCTCCTAGAAGTCCTGACCAAAGATGACGCAGTTTGATGAATTTCCTTGCGTCTCACTCGTTTTGCGAAGCTTTATCGCTATTCAGCAGTGGATTACATATCACTCGCAGCTCTTGGCTCAGCCTTTTAAGAGTTGCGTCGCACAGGATCAGGTAACGCCACCCTATGCTCAGTTGCTAAGCCGTTCAAATCCACCTCATCGCAGGGACACAGCAGCTACTACCAATTGACTCAATTTCCGTTCGAATTGGACACCAGTGTTTGATGCACAAACACGGACTAGTCACTAGAGCAGTATTTTTGTCTTTTCTAAGCTTTTCAAACGGAGTTTACCGCAATGCTTTCCACACTGAACTCTTGCTTAGCATTTCATCCAGTCAATAATCTTGATATTTGTACGTGAAAGGATCCAAAGCTGAGACTTTCCCAAAGGCGGTTGAAATGCGACCACTTGGCAGAGCATGTGATTGCGTGGTTGTCGCGTGTTCGAATCGAAATCGTCAGCAAAAATTTGACTTTGAGACATGAAGTTGACAAGAGTGGGATTCGAACCCACGCCCTTTCGGACTACGAAGGTGGTTCAAAGACCTGAACGTAGCGCCTTAGACCGCTCGGCCATCTTGCCATACAAACAAAACATAAAATGTCATCAAGGATGCACAATCATCTTGAGCAAAACTGGCGCAACACCTGGCGGCACAGGGCCACTGGCAAGTATTGTATACTTCACGACCTGCGAAGATGGCCCTTCAACAACTCTTTCGTCGTCGTCTGAGCCATGCTGCGACTACACGCCGGTCCTTGAAAATTGGCTTGATACCCGCCGACGGCATAGGTCACGAAGTTATTCCAGCTGCAAGAGCTGCCATTGAAGCCGTTGGATCAGACATCCCAAAACCCGAGTTCGTAGACCTCCTCGCGGGGTATGAGCTATTTACCAGAACAGGGACAGCCCTACCTGACGAAACAGTCGAGTGCGTCGTCCGCCGTGGCCTTGCCAGCCGATCTGACCGCTATACTAAGTGCGTTGAGAGAGTGTGACTGTGCGTTGTTTGGTTCTGTCAGGTGTGTGCATTTTCCCTTTTCATCGAGAGTGCGAGCTATAAGTCGCGACGAAAACTAGCTCCCCTTCGAGGCGTATCACTGGTTATTCGTCTCCCATCGTTGCTCTACGCAAAAAACTGGACCTTTACGCCAATATCCGACCCGTTGTCTCGGTGAGAGAGTTTCACTTTTTACCCTTCGCGGTCGGGTGAACACGCGTCTCAGGTTGCTGCGAATCCAGAAGAAAAGCCGTCTGTAGATCTCATTGTCGTGCGCGAGAATACGGAATGTTTGGTGCGTTGCCCCGCTCGTAATATATCTTCAGGTACCTCATATGACCCACCTCTAGTATGTCAAACAAGAAGAAATCAAGAGCACAGAAAATGGTCGTGAAGCTCGAGCGATTCGTCTTATCACCGAACGCGCCTCAGGCCGCATTGGCAGGATGGCATTCGAACTTGCTCGAGCCAGGCCTCGAAAGGCAAGTCGTCTTAGTACAAGAACCTGCTCACCTGAGTCGTTAACGCGTGGTATTTTTAGCATTTGACCATCATTCACAAGTCGAATGTACTCTCTGTGACAGACGGGCTCTTCCGCGAAACCGTCCGTGCGGTCCCCAAACAAGAGCCTGGCCGATATGACGATGTTTTCATTGCTGAACAGCTGGTAGACAGTGCTGTATACAGGTATAGCTCCCCTTTGTCTATCAAATCCTACGCAGATTACTGAAGCCATTGACCCAGATTGTTCCGGGAGCCACAGTAAGCTGGTCAAAATCTCGCCCCCTAGGAGCACTGAGACTAATGGACCTTCAGAATATACGACGTTATGGTCGCACCTAACCTTTACGGAGATATTATCTCGTGAGGGCTATCCTCATCTTCGATCAAGCCGCTCAGTACTGACGTCTTTAAAGTGACGCAGCTGCCGCACTAGTCGGCTCGCTGGGTCTGGTGCCTTCCATCAATGCCGGCGACAGCTTTGTTATGGGTGAGCCAGTACATGGTTCAGCACCCGACATCGCTGGAGAGCACATCGCCAACCCGCTCGCTTCTATTCGTTCCGCTGCCCTCATGCTTCGCCATCTCGGATACGCAGCGCCTGCAGATAGATTGGACAAGGCAGTCGACGAAGTCATTCGGGAAGGGCAGGTACTCACGCCTGACCTTGGGGGAAAGGCGAAAACGGAAGATGTCCTCAATGCGGTCCTCAAGAAGGTTTGAATTGATGGATCTGACCGGTATCGAGACTGACGCAAATGGAGACGATTCTCCGAGAACGACAGACCCAAGGAGCCATTGTCCACTCATGCGTCCCCGCAAAAGGACCAACTATATTGCTTTAGGTCCAAATATACATGTCGCTTCTGCTGCTGCTCTTCTTATAGATTGGTTAGTTTGTTGACACACTACTCGAATCTCATTCGGTCTTGACCCTCTTTGCATGATCTGCAAAGCACAATGAGATGAGCTTTAGCACACGATAGCACGGCGACATAGTCCACCTTTGTCATCAGTGTCGCTTTCTCTCTTCACGATAAACGATCGACCTGCGGATATGGATGCTTTCAGCAGTAAGAAACCTAGTATTGTTCCAGTGATTTGACGAAAATTCACCTGTCGCATTATCTCTTCGACGAGGATCAGTGACTTTGTTGCGCTCTGTGTAATTATGAGGACGTTAAAGCGGCAGCAATGACAAGCGGTGGGGATTTGACTGACCTTCCGGTCTCGATGTAAGTTGGAGTTCTGAGGGTGAACACATCAGTGTAAAGACACCCTGTCGTAGCGAAATGCGTACCCGTCAGCTCTGCTTTGACCGGCAATTCTCCAGAGCGTCGAACAAGATCTGACAGCTGTGTCGCAGCGAAATGCTCCTGCTTGACACGCAGCGATGCATCACCTGCGCATGAATATCGTTGAGTCACCGATATTCTGTGAAATTTTGATATCACTCACATTTGAGCCGCGATGCTTCGCGTTGGCCTGCCGACGAAACAGCAGAACGGCTTCTTTCATACTCGGCATGCAGCCTAAGCATCTGTTCGGAAGGTTCGTTGGCTACGAGAACAGTTTATTATAGATGGCGAAAGGAGGGAGAGAGAAACCTACAAGAAGGCTCAGCTTTGACGGAGCTCTGTCCCTGATAAGCAGGCTCTTGTTTGACTTCTGCGCTGTGCGTTTCCCTGGATTTTCTCCATGCGTCGTAACTGGCCTGTACTTCCGGAGATGGTTCTTGATATGGCTCAGATTTGACAGCTAACCAATAAACAAGGTCAACAAGTCGCTTGGACTTTACCAAGCTTCGTACCTAAGCCCGATTCCTGCTTGACACGTGGGAGTTCCTCATCCCTCGGCTCTCTTTTCAGTGCTCGCAAAGCTGCGGCCTCTACAAACACGGGAGTGCGTCTAGATGACGCGCTTTCCATGAGCGTTCAGATGCGTCTTCACTCACCTTCGTCTTCTGACTCAAGTTTGCCTGTGTATAATTGACCTATACATATTAGAATGCTCAGCCTCCTATTGAACATACCTGATTGCCGTACCTGAACGATTTGAGCCATCTGAAGGTCCTTCACGTGTAAGTGCAGCAGGCTGCTCTGGTCTCTCGGGGATACGACCGGCAAGCCCAGAGTATATAGACGTAAATTCCGGTTGCTGCTCAGATGCATGTCGTCAGCATGTATGGAAGGCTAGTTCTCGGATAACGGCTCTCACCGCAGACACAGGTTCCGACGGAGGCAATACTGGCTTGGGTATGTCCGTTGGCATAGGCAATGCAAGATCCCTGCAAGATCTCAGCCTGTCTCGACAATCAGCCCATACAGGACGAGGATACGGTTGTCGAACAGGCAGTGCCCCTCGCTGCAGCTTTGCATCCTGACTGAAGTCTTCGAAAGCCTGGCTGGCCCATTGATCTAGAGCAAGGAAAGGTGAATCCCGGGCCCGCGCAATGTTCTCGAAAACTATCGGACATACGTTCATCGGGATGCCCTTTTGTCCCGTAGTTAAACTCGAAAATGTATGTGGAGTACCCGTTTTCAGCTGGATTATCCTTCAGACTGAACTGTCGCCAGTCATGTTTCCCCAATAGGGCCGTGATATCCAGATGTTGCGCGTACTTCACTACGACCTCGTTCTTCTGCGCGAAGGGAAAGGGATGTTGCACGATACGACAGTGAGCATCGAGCCGTGTACGCACGCGCACACCCACCAAAACAGCGAATACGCACCGTGCTGACATAGAACAGTTCATCAGGCAGGAGGGTCTTGTTAGACGCATACCATAACCATGCGCCAACATGTCTAAAGTAACTCTCGTTTCTGCTTGCAGCCGAACCACAATATGGCCAGGGGTTCTCAACGACAACATACTTACACCCTGGGTCATCGTCGTACATAGGCCTCCCGCCGCTCTTTAGTTTGCCCTTGGCCATCTTGCCAACTTAAGCAGCCGCAGATAGCTGTGCAGTTATGGCGGATAAGAGCTTCTACTGGTAGCCTGGTTTTCCTGGCAGCCAGCGTTTGTCCAAGTGTAGGATAAGTTCAAGTTGAGAGAGCCTTGAAAACACTGCACGTTGGGTCAATAATGATACACGAGTCAAAGTCGAGTCTCAACTACTGGCATAGAGAGTCGCGTTGCTACCACGTGTATACATATTGACATTCCTTCTCAAATAGGCAGGTATCGAAGATTACTTTATGCACAGCAGTCTGGTTGCTGACAGACAGGCTCAGCGAATGCGACATGCTGGAGTTAGGTTGTTTATTGAGAGAACAGGGAATAACCATATATCCAACGTAGTGCAGGTGGTGCTGGTCTGGGAGGTTGTCTTGAAAAAGCTTGACACACACGCAGCCACAGGTAGACAACAGAATGAATATCTGACGGATACAATCTATGAAGTCGTACTGCTATCGTGCGTAAGCATACTGTTGCCCAAATGCGCTTCAAGAAATGGCGGGTTACTAGCTTTGCACCTATTGACACGAGTGTGGTCATTACTTTCACAATCAACCGCATACGCGCATATATCACGCTGTCCGTACATGCACTCTGGCCGAACGCCGCAACTGTTTGTTGGAAGCCTTTGAGCTATTTCCGCTACGCATGGTTTCCTCTCTGCCTTGAGCTTTGTCTCCATCCGTATGAGGGTCCAGATTGGCATTCTCAGCGGTCGCCGCAGGAGGTAGTAACTGACCGTGGTCATCGCTGACGACCAATCCCTGACCTGATGTTTCCCTAGCAGAGGTGGCAATGTTGTGGGCAGCCTTGCGGCCTCTCGCGTTTGGCTTCCTTGAGGGAGCCTTCCCAGGCCTGCTAGGTTTTTGATGAGTGGTATTGTCTGCGACTGAGGGTGCATCTGGAGCCCTAGACATGGGTTGTACAGCGGAACTCTCTGCCTGTAGTTGAGACGTTAGAGATGCTGAAACATCGGCAATCGCCGTCAGAAGCAGCCTACCTCAGTAGCAAGGGCAGCACCACCTAGCGATGCATCGTGCCCTATATTCACTGTTCCCTGATCTGGTGGGTTTGCAGTGATACGTCGTTTCTTTGTCGCAGGTTCATCTCCGCCTTCTG